TTACTCAGACACTAACTGAGAAATCTAACAAGATCAAAGCCTCTTAGATTTTGTTTTCTATTTACAATAGTTGTATTCTTCAGGTAGTGAATATGATCCTTTTTGAATGGAGGATGTTCAGGGGGGTTTTACCACTCCACAAGTTCTTCAGTTGATATGGATCTTTCCTAGCTAGTTATCCTGATCAATAACTGATATTTTCTGTTACAGTGTTGTAAATCAGATATGCTGAAAAAGGATCCCTTCCACCTTATTTTTCTCACTGTTGTATTGCATTATGTTACGAGAAATGGTTTCTCCCTGTTGTCCCCCCTCTGGATCCGTGGTGTGTTGGTTCCTTCCCCCTCACTCCTCCCCCTCGGTTTCTCCCCATTAGCTGTAACCTGCCTTCCCCCGCCCCCTTTCCCTCTGTTCAAAATCCACTGGCAGCCACGGTTCTCCCTTTTTTCCCTGGAACCCTTCTGGAGTAAAGCAGGAATACAGTCCTGGTAAGAAGGAGCCTTCTGGTCTTTATCTTTTGTCCTTGCTGAATCCCCTTCTTCCCCTGGTGGGCAGCAGCTACTCAGGTGACCTCCCGGGGCTGGGAGGAGTAAAAAAAAATATTTTTTTGTTTGGTTTGGTTTTTGTTCTTTTAAATATTGGAATAGCCCCACCGATCGCAGAGGATTATAGGGCCATGTTTTACGTTCGCCGTTCTCCTCAGTTCAAGATGTATTTCCTTCAGACCTGCCTGTGCAGAGGAGCTACACAGGACTCAATGTGGTCTTGTCTCCAGAGCATTCAGTGTCGTATCTGTCTTTTGCAGCATGTCTTGCAACACAGCTGGACTTTCAAGAGTAAGATGTTCCTCATGAAAGACAGCTTGTTTCTCTGGGCTTCCTAGAACATAGCTTTCAACAGTCAGTATGTAAACAGAACAAATCTCTCTTGTATTCGAGATTCCTTGCACTGTAGATACTGCCAAGTGTCCTCGAGCAGGCAGAGCAGGATAACATTCCTGCTGTACAGCCGCACTGGCCAGGGAGCTCGGACACCTTCTGCTCCAGGTCCGTGATGAGGCTGTCAGCTACACCGCGCAGCAAGGTGCAGCCTGTGTCATCGCCACTGGCCACCCGGCTTGGTGAGTCACTGTCCTGGGGTGATTGTGGTCTTAAATTGTATCCCCATCTGTTCACCTAGCCAGAAATAGGTTTTGTATCCTTAAAACATCATCTAAGAGTAGAGAGTGGAGAAGAAGCACCGAGTCTGTTATCAGAGACTTCACTTACTCCCCCTGCAGCCCGGGATGGGGTTTTGACTACAGCACAGACAGACAATGAGGGACAAATCGCCTTGGCTTTTCCAGCTAGCCGAAGCAGAGAAGTATTCCTGGACTGTTTTCTTTCCCTTTTCCTTGAACAGATTGAACCTGCTCTAGACTGGGGGCTCAGGGGAGCACCGGGAGCTTGCACCCGTGGACTACCGGGAGCCCAGCCTGGGCAGCGGCATTTTCCAGCGCCAGGGAAATATCCAGGGACTGATAACAGAGTGAACACCCACAGGAAAGAGACCCTCTGAATTTTGTCATCTCTTCAGAGCAGCAAGAGGTTTTGTAATTTGATATTGTTAATTCCTGTGCTGGGTAGTGCTTTGCCTGTTAAACAAACAAAGTTTTTTCACTTCTCTCAGAGCAATCTCTTCCCGGACCGGCTGGGGTGTGGGAGAAAGGGGCCGTGTGGGTTTGCTTCCCGAGGGGGGCCCCATTGGAGGTTTTCTCCCAAATTTGCCCTAAACCAGGACAAATGCAGTCACCCACGTGCCGTCTGCAGCCGGAGCACATGAACACCGTGGGCATGAGGGCCGTGCCCGCCCGTCGCTCTCGCTGCTGCTGCTCTGGCCGGCCGCCGGCTGGCTCCAGCAGCGAGAGCGAGCACTCCAGCTCCAGGCACAGCTCCATCGTGTCCCGCCTGCTCGATGACCGACCGGCAGCAGCCCCCGACATCGCCTTCGAACCACCCGCCGAGGAAGCGGCAGTGACGCCGGGGACCGCCCTGGGACTGCCCCGCTTTGGGCTGCATTCCCAAGCAACCCGACTCGGAGAAGCCCCGGCCCCGGCACGTCGGGGGCCGCTACCGGCCTCACACCGTCCGCGGGCTGCGGCCTCGATCACAAGGACTTCTTGAACTCTCTCTTCGAAGTTCTTCGCAACTTTCCCTTACGGTTCTTGTTGGCTCTCAGTCTCGTGCCGGTATTTAGCCTTAGATGGAGTTTACCACCCACTTTGGGCTGCATTCCCAAGCAACCCGACTCGCTTTCGATCACTCACAAATGCCTAAGATATCAGAGTCTTCTTCAATAGGTCCTAAATAAATGGAGTTGAAAATCAGTTAGTGATCTCTTTGCCAAAATAAACCTCAGTGAAATAGCTGGGTTTTTAATTTCAGTAATACTTCCTAGGTAGATTCTGTTGCTTCTCTTCTTTTAAATGTGTTTAAAGTGTAGTCCTTCTGTGGCAAAAGACAAAACCTACATTTAACAGAATTATGTCTTCCGATGGACTTGCTATGCAAATAGGCAGCATAACTATTTTTAAAAAAATTTACTAATAACTTAAAAAGCTAAAGGAGATGAAACTTGGAAAAATTCATACCTACTTTGTACCATGATGCTGTTGATAAGTGTTGCAATGAAGATGATGGCAAGCAATACTTATAATTTAAATAGAAGGTTCCATTTTTGCAGAAACCTTAGCTATTCTGCTGGCTGTGTTTTCTGGGCAATCATTGTTTTGGTTTGTTTGGTTTTTTGATTCAGATTTCGTGGCTGTTGAAAGACAACAGATGAAGAACGAGGGATGGGACCGCCTTGCTTTGAGATGATTTATTGTTCAAGTAGCCAGATATCAGTCTCAAGGCATGACATTTAGAGGAGCAACAAGTCAGCTCAAGGAAGACATGAGTTTTCTCTTTGAACAGCAATATATAACATTTTGGTCCAATAGACAGTTGACATGAAAGTTGTTTTCGCTTATTAACCTATCACCTTTGCTTAATTTTGCTGCACTGCGTCTGTCTCTTAGCCATTAAGCTGACAGGTCACATACTCACACCTCTGTTATATTTTCTAGATCTCTAACTTACTCTATAAGTCACACTATTACAGTTCAAACTTCAAACTATTTTACCTAATACAATTTCTTACCTACTCTAGGTGTATTCTTACTTAAAATTATAGGAACATAAGTCTGTAATTTCCCTACCCAGTGTCCGTGTACCTTCATCACTACATCAATCCAAGCTCTTTCTAAGGCTGCAGATTGAACCCTTCAGCATCTGTAGAAGTTTGTATTTTTCATTTTCCAACACGTGGTGTCTTTCGAAAATCCTTAGTACAAACAGTAAAATCTAGAAGATGAGACAGGCTAAAGTAATATTTTCTCATGAAAATGAAAATATTTTTTATTACAAAGCACATGTTCCTATCTGTGCTGATATTTCTTCAGATTATGCTAAGGATATGCTAAGGTACTTTTTTGTGTTTATATATTCTGAAGTACGTTTAAACAGGTAGGGTATATAAATCCTAAGAAGCTGTTTTATTCCTGGATTTCATCACTTTCCATATTTCATAAATGCAGTGATTCTATATTTTCTAAGACCTCTGTTTTCCTAAAAGATTCTGGACTCTGCTCTGACCTTGGAAGTGGTCACCTTTGTTGATGTGTAGAGATTGGAAGTGAAGATCACTATAAATAAAGAACAGCTACTTTGTTAGTTATTAAAAATAGTAATTGGCTGGGAGTACTAGGCTAGGCAGTAATGCTTGTCATCCAGATGTAGGTACATCCATGGATGTCTGATGCCTGGACAGATACTTTATTTCTTCAAGAGCAGTTCTTCATATACATATCAATACCCATTGTTTCTCCTATCTCACTCTTCTTGTGAACATTGATTTCAATCCTTTTTTCCATTTTCTTTCAATTCTCTAGGGAAGCTATAGGGCATGCATGCTATTACTATATATATTTTTCTATGGTCCAGTGAAGTGATTTCTGTCCAGTTTTCCACAGAATGCATTGTGAAATCTGTAATTACTGTTAAAATCTAGCTGAGGGTGTGTTAAATAACCCTTAATACCAGACGAAGCAATTGGAAGTTACTGTTTCAATTACTATTTTCCTTTAGCTTGTCTGCATGTTTCCTATTAGAGAATATATTTAAGTGATTTGAAGGTAAACTTGAGTCCTGCTAAAATTATGAGGAATTCTGTCTCCAGTCCCTGGAGGGCTGAGACTCCGTTGTGAAGATACTGGGTCGTGAACCTTAGGTTCTTGTTTTAAGACATTTGTAACTGAAGATATGCTCATGGTCCAGAGGACTCCAGGCAGGCTGCAGAATTGGCCTGAAGAGTATTTCTCAGGTTTGTCAAAGAAATGGGCAAGATCCTCCATCTGCTTTGCATGGATGTACCCCTAAGGGGATGCTGAGGGGCAACAAAAAGACCATGAGCCAAGCAATAGGCTTTCATGGCAAAGGCATCCAACAGCATCCTGCCCTGCATTAGGCAGAGCATTGCCAGCAGCTCAAGGATGAGGGTCCTTTCTGTGTACTCAGTAGATGCTGGACCAGATCTGGAATGCATCCTCCAGTTCTGGGTTCCCCAGGGTAGGAATATTATGGACTTTCTGGAGGTATTGTATAAATACCTGTGGACGACAGAGCCAGGCTCTGTTTGGTGGTGCCCAGGGGCAGGATCAGATGCAATAGGCACAATATCAAACACAAGAGCATCCATCAGAATATCAGGAAAGTCGCTTTCCTTGGAGATATTCAAAAGCCATCTGGCCAAAGTCTTGGCCAGCCTTTTCTATCTTGATTAGGGGTGTTGAAATATATGGTTTTCCGAGGTCCCCTCTAACAAGTGATTCTGTGCTTCTTTGACTTACTGTCCATTTATATTTCATATAAATATTAATGTTTTTAACTCTACAATATGCATTTTAAAAAAAGTATGTTGATGTTAGATGATAAAACATATTACATGTTAAGTTTTTTCAGTTCCCCAGAACTTGCTGAATTTTTAACCTTTCAGAGTGGAAGTTTATGTCCAATTTCTTTTGAAGCAACTTTCAGCTGTTTCTGAGAAGGATGTGAAAAACTGCAGAAATCACACTGAACTTCATTTGAAGGGCCTTCATTTGATCAGAAGTGGAGGAGGCAGTGTTATCAAGTGGAAAGAAAAGAGCCCAGTTCAGGTATATAAGTTTTCTGAATTTGATGCTTTTTAAATACACTTTCTAGTTGTATGCTGGATTAGGTACAAACTCTTGTCGGTTTTTGACAAAATGTTAGAGCTGAAAGGTTTTGCTGAAGTCATTGACCTCTTTGTGTTTTGTACCCTTGGAGGTGACTTTGCTTCAGTGACTGCTGCCTTCAGTTCTTTTCTTCAAAGAACTGCATCTGTGGCTCAGAGAGACTTCACACCTCACATCTAAAACGATGGAATGGCTGTATCTGCCCTTAAAGCTCTATGTTAAATATATAAATATTCATTGTATTTAACCTCTTAATATTTAATCCAATTTATAATTTTACCTTTGAAATTAAAAGGCATGTATTATATGCAATAAGGATTTCATATTTTAAAGAGTTTCAAAATAGGAAATCTGAAGTGCTTCTGAAGATTTAAGTTTTGCTGGAAAAGACAATTTTCATCCACAATTAAAATTCACGTTACTGACTCTGGAAAGCTGAATATGTATGCCTGCTAGAGGAGTCAGTTCCCAGTTTAGATAAAGAAGGAGGGAAAACCATTATTTACTTCCCAATAATGTCCAAATAATAACAAGGATAAATTTTAAAAGGATACTTCATGACTGTTCTTCCTTGTCTGAATGCTTGCAGTTGATCTTTCCCTCTGAAAGTCACATCTCACTTTGTCTAAGTGGGGTAGCCAGCACCTTCACCAAAAGGAAACAAATGCTCAGATAAACTTCTTAAAATTATTTGGAATCTTTACTGTTACAGAAAGGAAGAATTTCAGAAAAAAATTCTAGTGATGAAGTTGAAGCTGAATCCACTGAGCTGCCTGAATCAGTTCTTACAGCACAGTTAAAGTACAAGGCTGCAACCTCTCATTGTATTCTATAAGCTGTTTCCTTTCACATATTTACAATTGTGAGCAACTGTGAAACACAGTATTCAGCTTGCAGCATTTGACTGTGAAAAAAATTAATTTCCTTCAAGTCACAAATACTTAACTATGCCAAGACTGCATTTCCTCAAGTGTTACGCAAATTATGATAATCTCTTTCTATGCATCTTAGTTGTATTGTTGTTTCCTTAGATTCCACAAGTATTCTAAGCACTTTAAGACAAGTTTAAGATGCAAATTTTTAATCCAAATAATTTCTGTTAGAGTCCCTGATATGGCACATAAGCTCTACAGCAGTAAATGATGTAGCCTGTCTACCCGTCAAGATTGTTTTGGTAATTAATATTTATTTAAAAAACATATAAGCTGACTTAAAACAACACCAGGTATTTTATGTTGGATTGAAAATGTGCATTTCAAGATGGCATAGCTGGCTAAATAGCTAAGGGTGAAAGGAATTGCAGGAATTTGTAAATGTGGGGGATATGAAAGGAGTTGGAAATGTCAGACAGAGCCCTGGGAATATATAAGGAATTCCTTTCTGACAATCTGTCATTACAGTGGGCAGATACTGTTTTACAGAATTGCATTTTTGAGGCAAAGAAGCTGCCTTAACCTGGGTAAAAACAAAATTGTAACGGTGTGCTTTTCTTTGAAGTAAAAAAAACCCAATGTGCATGGTCAGATATTTTGGCTTTGAAAAGAGGTTTGAATACCTTTAGTTTTCACTGCATTTTGATGATAGTTACATACATTAATGCTTATTTCATTTGTAGCTGTGTGGAGTAAAAAAGTTCTTTAACTTGAAATAAATACATGAACAAAAAGCATTCCAGATTAATGGAGAGATTTTTATGTGTGTTTCTTTTCTACCTTGATAGAAGCCACATCACACGTGCTCGTATCTTGGTTACAGCTGCACGCACTTTCTTTTTCATATTGTCTCCCTTCAGTGTCACATAGAATTCTTATTACTGACATATCTTCATATTCTTGACTAAACCCATTAACTGTCTTGATGGCTGGTCGTAAATCCATTCACTTTGTGTGGGGGCACTGCTATCTGTATTTCTCAGCCTATTCTTGCACTTGGTATGGCACTGGTGAATCTATTGTAATAGGCACAACAACATATACTGTTAGGCAGTAAAAATGTTTCCATCAGATATCTCATCTGTTTAGAGAACAGGTGGTTAACTTCACTGGGATGTTGTTCCAGTGTTTATTCTGAATTGGTTTAAAAGTTGTTATGCATATTACAGTCAAAATGAAAAGTGAGAATTAATTTTAACTACACCTTAATGAATTTTCATAGACTAATAATAGCTATTATTTTTAGCAGTAAAAATGTAAGGTATATGTAAGCTAAGTTACTAATACATATGCCATTATTGTTTTATAGCTTATTTGGTTCTAACTTAATAAAAAAATGGAATATAGCCAAATGTTGGCTATTATGATACAGTAGAATAATTGTGGTACATTTTTGTTTAAAGTTATTTAGAGTTAATATCTTACAGTGTTAGATTGATTAATTTTGGTTAATTAGAATTTTATATGATGAATTCTAGGCCTTTACAGGTAGCAGAGTAAGGGTGTACACAAGAAATGGCCTGAAAGTGCATCTGACTGTGTACCAGTGGTTTCATGTAATGCTTCTCCATTTTCCAATATTGCCCTTCAAGATGTTTGTGTGCTGTTACTTTTGAAAAAAAAATAGGGCATGGGAATGATGAGAGAGATATTTTCATTCATTTTTGATTCTTAGGTAGTGTAGACAGGGTTTTTTGGGGATAGATGTCTTCTTTTGAGGGAGGATTCCCAAGTGGGCACTTGTAATGGCACAGTTGTCAGGCACAGGTGTTGTTGGGATAGTGCCCTGCTGTGTCCTTCTCTAGACATGGAAGCCCTGAGAGAGTTTGGCAGAAGTAAGAAGCAAGGGAAGAGCAGAGTGGGATTTAGACTCAGAAGAGGCAGGTCAGACTTGTTTTTGAGGTGTGTACAGAAGCTGCCCGTAACCAGCCATGACACGCTGGATTTAAGCAGCGGAGTGTAAGGGCCAAAGGACCTTAGAGTCACTCAGCCCCACTTTCATTAGTTTACACTTTGGTTTTGATACTATGCACGTTTTCATGACAGGAAGTATTTTTCATTTAGTAAAGAAATGACCTTTAAAAGTTCCTGACTTTGTAAATATCAGTTACTCTATGCAGTAGGTTTAGCCCAGCCAGCAGGCAAGCATCTAGAGCTTTCTTGCTTACTTCTCCATCTCCAGATTGGGACTTGGGAGAGAATATGAAGAACAAAACCAAAAAAAACTATAAATGAGTTATATTGGCTCATGCGTCAATATAGAGACAATCTAACAGGCAAAGGAGAGAGGAAAGAAGAAAAAAAGAAGAAAGCCAAAATCCTAACAAACAAAACAAAAAAAGCCCTCAAGTGATGCAGGGGAAATCACTCACCACCTTCATCCAGCAAAGCAATGCCCAGCCAGTCTGAGCAATAGGTAATTCAAAAATAACTCCCCTACCACAGCTTTTATTGCTGAGCATCTCTTGCCTGCCCCCAGCCTTCTCTTTGGAGCAGCAGAGTGAGAAAAGAGAAAGCCTTGATGCCATTCAAGCACTATTCAGCCAAATCACTGCTGTGATATCAACACTGTTTTAACCACAAATCCAAAGCAGCAACATTTGGACTGCTATGAATAAAGCAAACTCCCATCCCAGTTTACTGCTGCTGCTGCTTGCTAATTGTGCTGACAGTGATTATTTTTAGGAGAGACTTGTTAGTCTCCTGTTGTATGTTCAGATGCAATACATCCTTTGTTGGCTTGTGCTCCTGTTGTATTTTAGCAAGGTTTGACTCTTTACCACATCTCTCTCTGGCATGAATTCACTGTGCCAGTCAATACTCATATCTTGTCTCCTACTGCCTGAGTTCTGTGAACATTTCTCATTTTGCTGTGGTAACAGTACTTAACAACCAGTTGTTAAAGAAGACAAAACGCAAACCTTGACCTAGAAGGGCAATCAGATACCATAAATATCTTTGTAATTCTTGTAACTTATGTCACTGGTGCTGAGTCTTATATAATAATGAAGTTCTTGGCTCTCTGGCACTATCAGCAGAGTGGTTGCCATAATACAAGATTCAGTTTCACTGAAGTAGGGGTACCTTTAAGCGCACAAGCTGAGAAAGACAGAAATCCTGCCTTTCAGTCAGGTGCACTCCAATGAAGCAAACAACAGTTTTGCTACAGCCTTATGAGAAGCCATAAAACCAGGTTTCCATTGTAAATGTCTTTGTATTTGTAAAATTACTTTCAAATGAAACAGGTTTGTCTGTTAAGGGCTTCATATGCATTTTTATATGGAGTATAAGAAATTGGGAAGTCATTACTAAGAGCAGATAAAACTTTGTTTAAAAATATAATAACAAAATAATATTTTTAAAATGTCCGGTTACTCCTTTTTTTATATAGTTATTCTTTTTAGACTTTTTGTCATTTTATAGTATCATAGAAGGTTTTGGGTTGGAAGGGACTTCAAAATTCATCAAGTTCCAACCTCCTGCCATGGGCAGAGATACCTTCCACTAGATCAGGCTGCTCAAAGCCCCATCCAACCTGGCCTTAAATGCTTCCAGGGATGAGCAGCCACTGCTTCTCTGGACAACCTGTTCCACTGCTCCAGCACCATCACAATAAAATATTTCTTTTTAATATCCAGTGTAAACCTTACCTATTTCAGTTTAAAACTGTCACCCCTTGTCCTATCACTACATGCCCTTTAAAAGGCATGTGATTTGAACCTAATTAATAAGAAATGAGTTTTCAGAAGTTACAGGTCTTAATTGAAAGAGATTCCTGCAAACTAATATGAAGAATGAAGGAGAAGTAGGAGAAGTAGATAACTTTGTGACTGCAAAAAGATAGCTCATATCTGAAATATCTTTTGCATTTTTATCAGGCTATAAAGAAATAGTTCCAAATAACATTTTTTTTTTCCTTTTAAGTTCTTTAATGTACATGGTGACGACATATACTTTCTAAAAGTTCTCCAGGACACAGTTATATAAAAATCCTGAAATAATTTATTATCCAGTTCAAATAATTATAAAAATACCAACATAGATATGAAACAATGTTTTCTACTTTTTCATTCAGATATATTTAATTTTGTATCATATGCACTTTTAATTTCTATCTTCTAAGTTTTTTTATATTTTTCCCCCCTAAATTGTGCTTTCCTCCATAAAACAGCAGCTTGAAGGGTTTAAGGAGTAAAACTGAGCAAATGACATTTTCATCCTTGATTATTAAATTAGCCTTACCTTCCTCAGTCAGTTAGGGTTTGGTGAATTCTGGATTAAAATAAATAAACAAAGACAAAAAAATCCCTACTTACCAGCAAAGTGAGTGAAGTTGTCGTAATTAATATACCAAGTTGCATCATTTTCTTGGTATTGCAAATGCAGGGATATTAAAGCCTTAGGCAAGGCTACTGATAACACAGCTTTCAGCAAGTAGTTGAAAAGTAAATTCATGATCTGCTAAAAACATGTTTTTAATCTTGTTTTAAAGGGGAGGCTCTTGTGGTTTCATTCACTGAAACTATTTCCCTTTGTACCATCAGATATCTTGGACATAGCAACATGGTAGCTTCTATTATAGTTTCAGATTTAATTCCACTGGGATTATTTTTGTAGTCTGAGAATTTTCTTCAGATGACTAGTAGTAGGATTGGTTTTCTTGAAGCTGCCTGTCTCAAAAAAAAAAAAAAAATAAAAATGTTAAAACCCTCTAAGGCTGGGAGCAGTGCCTATGATGTAACACAGCAAAGTCTGCAATAGACATCTAATTCTGTTTCTTTTACTCAAAGTTCCATTTACACCTTAAACACCACTTGATGGCTTTGCTTTATCTAGTATTGATCCAATTAGAGAAGTCAAATGTACTACAGGGATGATCCAGAGGAAACATTATTTCTGTTTGCTGAAGTGTTGCTGATTTCTCGTTATCATCCTGCAGTCCAGGACGTGTGAACATTAGCTGCCAAAAACTCTAAGATGGCAAAGAGGGCAATGTATTTAACCTCCTAGTATATACACCTGGATTTACAGGAGCTCACTAGGTGAGTTACTATCCTTGTAGCATCTTCTATAGACTTAAATTTCATGCAAAAACTTACTCCTAAGCTTAGTTAAAACTTGTTACCCAGCCTCACTGCCTACAGATTTATATGTTGGGTTTGACTAAGAGATAATTGCTATGGGTATATCCAGTTTTGATCTGAAGGCTTTGAGAGATAAAGTCAACACACTGAATGGTCAGCTGCTGCAATGACTAACCACTGTCACCATGAACACCTGTGCCTTAATTTGTATTCTGAGCTCTGTCTTCAGCTTCTCATCACTGGAACAGCTTTGCATCTCCTCTGTAGCCCTTTAGTACCCCCCCCCCCCCCCTTTTTTTTAAGGTGGTACTTATGCATACTATAGGATAGTTTTCTGATATTATTTTTAAAAAAAAAAAATCCAAAATTTCTTGCAACTGTTATGATTTAAAGCTGAACTCCTTTAAAACTCATTTATTCAGGGTTAAAAATCGAATTTCTCTTTTGTCCCTCCATCTTGTTTATCAATACAAGAACATTGCTCCACAGAGTCCTACTGTGAAGTCCCTGTCAACTGATTTTCTATTTGAAATGTATTTTTTTAGAGTCACTGCTTTCTTATGTGGTACAGGAATATTACAAATTCCTTAAATAAAGTTAAGGCTACAATCAAGCTTTCCAGTAGATGCTATTTAAGAATGTCTCCTTGGTGGTAACTTCCAGA